GATGGGAGGGCCGCATAAGTGGCCATGAGGGAGCCACAGAAAGTCCTTGAGCAGGGAAGTAACATCATCTGTTCGGCTTGTGGGGGGTGGGGGAGGGGGAGGGCACACAGGACAGGCAGATAAGTGAGATGCCTTTGACCAAACATTTGGGAAATGTCAGGACTGGGTGGATGGTGGGAGCAGAGGTGCAGGGGCATTTCCCAGTGCCTGAAGTAACTGCCACTCCCTTGTAATGTTGCCTCACGGTGGCCCTGCTGCATGCCTGGATAATGGTGCAGTAGACCGCTCCTTTTTGTTCCTGTCCTCACCTCATGTCTCTTGTGGTAACTGGCTTGCTATTTTTCTGGGAGAAGCATCCCTCCTCCCACTCGTCCTCACCCCATGTCCTTCTGGAAGGGCTGACCCCATCCTCTTCCTAGAGGGGCTCAATCTAGCCAGGTGTGGCCAATCTTGCTGTGATTGGCTCAGGTAAGGACTTGTGATCCAAATGAGTACAACGGAAGTCAGCCCTGAGACTGGCTGTGATTGTTGGCAAACAGCTCCTGCTTTCCTGGTCATATGTGACCTTGGTGCTGCCCCGGACACTGGAGAGAGCTGTAAGAGAAAGAAATCAAGGAGGGAAAAAGAGCTGAAAGAGATTCAAGATTTAGGTCACTGCTTGAGCACCTGGATCCAGCTATGCCTGAAGTGTGGTACGACCCCAGGGCTTTTAAATAGGTTTCCCTTTTTGTTCTATTCCAGGTTGAATTATTGTTGTCACTTGTATCTGTAAAAGGTCAGACTAATAAATTCAACCATTTACAAACTCCAAGAAACCCTTGGAGACTTTTTCTAGTAGGGAAGACATTCACTGCTGTTGTTTTTCTGCCAACTTTAGGGTTTTCAGAGAGGTTTGGGGCAGAGGATGGAAAGCGAAGATGTGGGAAGGAACGGTCCCTCCAGCCCCAAGGTTGAGTGAACCCCTCCCAGCTAATTATACCACAGAGTTTGGGAGCAGAGCCCCTTTCGTTAAACTCTTAGGAGTCTTGGAAGGATA